ATAAAATCCAGCAATTGTGCTCCTTGGTATTTACCCAAAGGAGTTAAAAATATATGTTCACACAAAAACTTACACATGAATGTTTATTGCAGCTTTATTCATAACTGCCAAAATTTGAAAGCAACCAAGATGTCCTTCAGTAGGTGAATGGATAAATAAACTGTGGGATATCCAAGACAATAGAATATTCTTTAGTGCTAAAAAGAAATGAACTATTAAACCTTGAAAAGGCATGTAGGAACCTTAAATGTGTATTACTAAGTGAAAGACCACTTTCCTAAAGGGCTACAATATGGTATGATTCCAACTACATGGCATTCTGATAAATGCAAAACTATGGAGGCAGCAAAAAAGATTAATGTTTACCTGAAACTGAAGGCATTGTAGACATGAATAGGCAGAATACGGAGGATTTTAAGGACATTGAACCTGTATAATACTGCATGAAAATGTATGTATAATTCTATAATACTATATAATACTATATACATATGATACTGTATAATACTATATTGGTGGATACATGCTATTATACTTTTGTCAAAACCTACAGAATGTATAACACCAAGAGTGAATGCTAATGTACATTGTGGACTTTGGGTGATAATGATGTGTCAATCAATATGGGTTCATCAATTTAACAAATGCACCACGGTGGTTGGGGATATTGATAGTGTGAGAGGCTGGTTTTGGGAACAGGGAATATATAGGAATTCTTAGTACCTTCTGCTCAATTTTGCTGTGAATCTAAAACTACTTTAAAAATTAAAGTCCATTTTCAAAAATCTGAAAAAGTATATATGTTGATTAGCAGTATTATTCAAGAGATGGAACAAAAACAGAAATGAGCTCACCATTATAGCAGCTTTCTGTGCCAGATTACCTTCTGTTATTCTGCTTAATAAGTGTAATCTTGAGCAATTTATTTAACTTCTCAGTGCCTCAGTTTCCTCATCTGTAAAAGGTAGACTATTAGTACCTACCTGCTAGTTTTCTTGAGACGTCTACATGAGTTAACACATGCAATGTGCTCAGAATAGCCCTTGCCATATAATTCAGTGAAGTAAACATTACTTCTTGTGAATTTAACCCACTGGGATCTAACCTATTTCTGTCATCATATCTACAACAGTTTCTTTCTCCTCTGTATCAATTTTTTCCAAAACCTGCCCCTCCTTTCTTTCTTTCTTTCTTTTTTTTTTTTTTAATGTTTAGGTATTTTTCTGACAGAGAGAAGAGAGAGAGAGAGAGAGAGACAGAGTGTGAGCAGGGAGGGGCAGAGAAAGGGGGAGACACAGAATTGAAGCAGGCTCCAGGCTCCAAGCTCCAAGCTGTCAGCAGAGCCTGATGTGGGGCTCGAACTCAGACTGCAAGATCATGACCTGTGCTGAAGTCAGATGCTTAACTGAATGAGCCACCCAGGCTCCCCCCACCCCTTTTTTTAATGTTGCCTCTCCTTACATTGCCCCATTGCCTCCCTGACTGAGTCTAAAGAGACATCAAAAAAAGAGATCTGGATAGTTTCTTACATTTGGACAGAGACAGTCATCGTGTTCAGAGCTTTTCTACCAAAGGAAAAATTCTACCAGACTCATTTCCATAAGCAGATGTCATAGGAATAGCATGACAAACTTAAAAACACACTAATAAGCAAATAAGTGAAAACATTTTTCTTTACATTTTTATTTCAAAATAGTAATTAATCCAACAAATATTTACTGAGTACTTGAATAGCATTTATTCTATGAAGACTTCTCTTTAACTTCCCAGTATATCCAGAACCCTCCAGACCCAAGAATCACGAAGTTCCTCTACTGTGTTCCAAAGCCATTTTATACATTTAAAAAATAATAATTAATAAATTAATTATCTCTTCTTATCTATTTCCCTAGAACTTATCATCTACTCTACCAATTTGGTTCAGAAAAGTTGGCTTGTAATTTTCTTTATGTGTATATTTCTCTTCATCAATCCATCTATCCAAATTCCATGACCATATGTCGTAAGCTTTCTTGTGGCCATCAAAAGGATTTCATATTCCAGAACAGCAGCCCTCAAAGTGTGTTACACAGAATCATAGAGTTCCAGAGGTCAAAACTATTTTCATAATAATAATACTAATAATTAGTGGTTTCTTTCACTTTGTTGACATTTACATTGATGGTGCAAAAGTAATGGTGGGTAAAACTGCTGGCACCTTAATAGAAACGAATGCAGCAAGCCCCAAACTATACTTGTAGTCATTGTATTCTTCATAGCTGCACATTTGCAGTTTTTTTCTAAAAAAAAAA